TCTGCTTGTGTGAACTATGTCTTCCCCACAAAGCTTCCAGAATCTTTTAGAAAAGGCCGGATTGAGACCATCCGATCTAGGGGCTTTGTCTGAATGCATCTGGATCATGGCTTCTTTAAACTCATCATCCTTAAATGGGGCCGTCAACGTACTGTTAATATCCTCGGTGATGCATGGTTTAAGAGCTACCAGCACTGGGGAATAATCTACATCACAAGAATTAAAAAGATTAGTAAAATAGGACTGCACTGTCAATTGTATTGAATTCCTCTCAATGTGAGGGTTCTTCCTATTATATAGAACAATTACAAGAATAAATAAGGCAATTAAAATCTACCTATTAATTACAAGATACTATACAAAAACATACCATAACTAGAGAAACTAATTATGGCTAAATATACAAAATATATATGCTATATCTGATTGACATCCCCCCTCAAATTGATGCTGGTCGATCAAGAAGCATCAATTTGCCCACAAGGAACTGAGGACGCTGTCGTGTCATGGACTTTGTGAATACGTCAGCTATCTGAAGATCAGTGGAAACATGAGGAAGAGATATAACACGAGTGTCCAAGGCTTCTCGAATAGAATGACAGTCTACTTCAATATGCTTCGTACGTTCATGGTAAACAGGATTAGCAGCAATTTGAATGGCACTAGTATTATCAGCATGAAGAGGAGTAGAATCAGATTGAGAAAAACCAAGCTCAGCCAGAAGCCCACGAAGCCAGACAATCTCAGAACAAGCAGCAGACATTGCCCGGTATTCGGATTCAGTAGATGATTTAGAAACGCGAGCTTGTTTCTTACTCTTCCAAGAAATCAAAGAATCACCAAGAAACATACACCAACCCGTGACAGACCGCCGAGTATCAGGGCATCCGGCCCAATCTGCATCACTATAAGCAACAAGACGAAGAGAAGAGCCAGCTGGGAAGAACAACCCACGGCTAGATGACCCCAGAAGATACCGAATGATACGGCGGACAGCAGCTAAATGAAGGTGGCATGGAGTCTGCATAAATTGGCTAACCTGCTGAACAGCGAAGGAAATATCAGGCCGAGTAATAGTCAAGTAGTTCAAGCTGCCTACCAACTGTCGGAACATAGTAGGATCAGAAAGAAGATCGCCCTCCTCACTTCGATATTTCAAATTGACCTCCATAGGAGTATCCACCGAAGAAGAATCTTGAAGACCAGCTAGGCGAATCAAATCCTGGGTATATTTGTGTTGATTTAAGAATATACCTGAAGGATCAGTGTGCACCTCCAACCCCAAAAAATACGTAAGAAGACCAAGGTCTTTCATATGAAAAGAAGCCTGAAGATTCTGCTTGAGATGGGCAATCAAACTGGAGTCGGTGCCAGTAATGACAATATCATCCACATACACAAGTAAAAGAACAAGTCCAGCTGGAGTCTTACAAAGGAACAAAGAAGAGTCATATTGGCTTTGGGCAAAGGAGAAGTGAAGCAGAGTTGACCTGAATTTTTCAAACCATGCCCGCGGAGCCTGTTTTAAGCCATAGAGAGACCGCTTTAACTTACACACAGCGGAAGATGGCGAAGAAAACAAACCCGGAGGAGGAGTCATGTAAATATCCTCTTTGAGATCACCATGAAGAAAAGCATTCTTGACGTCCATCTGGTGAAGCGGCCAGCCTTGAGAGGCGGCAATAGAAATAATTGTACGCACTGTGGTCATCTTCGCCACTGGAGCAAATGTCTCCTCATAGTCCACCCCATATTCTTGCCTGTTTCCAAGAGCAACTAATCGTGCCTTATACCGATCCAGAGTCCCATCAGAGCGGAGCTTAATCGAATAAACCCATTTACAACCAATGGCTTTAACATTAGAGGGGCAAGGAACCACGTCCCATGTATGATTGTCCTGGAGAGCCCGAAGTTCCTGATCCATCGCTTTCCGCCAACATTCATATTTAACAGCCTCGGAAAAGCATGTAGGGATGGAAATAGAAGACAAAGTAGTATTAAAAGAAGTGTGGGGAAAACCATACCGATCAGGAGGACGTGATACTCGGGTAGATCGGCGAGGACCAGATTCAGGAACTGTCTCAGATGGTGGGTCAATCTCAGGAGAAGTGGTCTGAACAGATTCAGATGAAGGGTCAGTCTCGGGAAGGGGCAAAGTCGGTCGACGTCGAGTATACACCATTCCAGGTTTGAACCGTTCAGGCAGAGGAGACAATTCATCAAAACAAGGGATAATGCTAATCTCAGGCAATGATTCAACATATGTAGAAATGAAATATTGATTCTCAAAGAAAACAACATTACGAGATATACGAATTTTGTTAGAACAAGGATCATAACAAACATAACCTTTGTGAGAAATACTATAACCCATAAAGGCACATTTAACAGATTGAGTAGAAAGTTTATGACGTTCGTGAGGAGGTAAATGAACAAAACAAACACAGCCAAAAGTATGCAGATTAAGATAGCTAGGATGCTGATGATACAAACGATAATAAGGAGAATCAAAATCCAAGACCTGAGAGGGCAGTCTATTAAATAAATAAACTGCAGTAGATAAGGCCTCAACCCAGAATTTAGAAGGAACAGAAGACTCAAGCAATAAGGTGCGAACAACGTCCAAGAGATGTCGATTCTTTCGTTCAGCCACCCCATTTTGCTGAGGGGTATAAGGACAAGAGCGCTGAGAGACAATTCCTTTGTGATTTAAGAAATCATGAAACTCGTGGGACATATATTCTCCACCAGAATCAGACCTCAAAATCTTAATACCTGTAGAAAATTGGGTCTCAACATATGCTACGAAGGTCTGAAAAACAGACAAGACCTCAGATTTGGACCGAAGAAAATAGACCCAAGTATACCGACTAAAATCATCGATGAATGTCACAAAATATTTGTATCGAGCATGAGAAATAATAGGAGAAATACCCCATACATCACTATGCACAATATCAAAACATTTTTTAGCACGACTACCATGAGAAGAGAACGAAAGAGTCTTACTCTTACCAAGTTTGCATACAGAACAGTCAAATGACAAATTTTTAGAAACTTGTTCTTTATTGCTTAACAAACCAGAATTTAACATATGAGATAGAACAACAGAGTTTGGATGACCCAAACGTTTGTGCCAAACTTCATTTGGAGTGTTAACAGACACACAAGCCAAAGATAAACAACTAGGAATTGAAAAATGTAGTGGAAATAGTCTTCCAACTTTAGGCCCCTTCGCGAGTATCTTCCCCGACACCTGATCCTGCACAAGACAACCATCACGAGAAAAATGGACATCACAGTTTTTTTCAACTAACTGGCCAACTGAAATAAGACTATTAGACAGTCCAGGAGATACATAAACATCTCTGAATGAAGAATTGATATCCCCTACTTGATTAATAGCTAAATGACTCCCATTAGCTACTTGAATATGAGATGAACCATGATATGGACGAACATTGCAAAGCGTATCAGATGAATTGGTCATATGATTGGATGCAGCAGAATCAAGAAGCCAAGACTTATATGAAGTAGTACCATTACCTTGGAGCCCTAAGGCGGAAAAGGCTGACATAATCATCTGCTGAACCATTTCAGGAGTAAGAACAGATGATCCGCCCGTAGAAGAAGAAGCTGAGGACATCACTGGAGCAGAAGAGGTGTTCACTGCAGCCTGATAGGCGGTAGCTTGACGATTCTGAGGCCGAGTGGGACATTCTTTGATAAAGTGACCCTGTTTCTTACAATAGTTGCAAGATTTCTTAGCACAGTTGGCGGCAATATGACCATACTCCTTGCAGCTGAAACATTGAACCTTGCGCATATCCTTACTTTTCCCTTTCCCGTAGGCGACATAGGCTACTGGATTTGGGTTTGAGTCTTGCTGGAATGTAGCCTGTGTAAGAAGACGCTGCTCCTCACGAAGCAATTCTCCAAAACAAACATCCAAAGATGGAGAAGGATCCCGATTCATTAAATTGGAGCGAGTGACCTCAAATTCAGGGCGTAATTTCATCAGGAATTGATCTCTCTTGCTCTGCTCATGAACAGCCTGAACATCAGAGAGAGATGCAGCAGGTACCTTCGCATAAACCATATCAGAAAATTCTCCCCACAAATTCTGAAAACCAGAGAAATACTCCTGAATGGAGAGATTGCCTTGAGTGTAATTAGCAATCTCATATTCTAACTGAAAACGACGTGCAGTATTATCTTGGTGATAAACCTTCAACAAATACTCCCACATAGTTTTAGCCGACTTATAGGGCCTCAGATTGAGCACAATAAGAGGATCAACAGACCCTAAGATCCAGGACATCACACGTGCATCCTTAACCATCCACTTAGCCAAATCGTTAGTCTCCGTAGGAGCTGGATCACTACCGTCAATATGGCCCCACAATTCTTTTCCCATAACAAATAATTTAAATTGAAATTCCCAAGCAGTATAATTTTTTCCAGTAAAACGAACCCCAAAAGTCTCGCTAGAAGACATGATGAAAAATAAAAATCAGAAATTATAAAACCTGATTAAGAGTAACAGGGCCACCAGCCCAATCCACTCAATCAGCAACCTACCCAACAAGAATTTCACGCTCGCTGCTACTCACGCCAGAATCAGCCGCGACCTTCACTTGACCTCAGCCGAAAGTCCACGCTCCTCCAGAAATCGCCGACAGCCCCGCCAACTCCTTCAGAAATCGCCGGCAGTCTCACCAGAATCAGCCGACAGCCTCAACTTCCCCAGAAATCGCCGGCAGCTCCAAAGTCTCCACGCCGACAGCCTCAAGAAAAAATTCCGGTAAGAGTAACCTTTCTACCCTCAACAAAACTTTTGCTACCCTACCCTCAACAAAAAACTACCGAATAGCAGTTTAGAACCCTCTCCAAAATTATCGACAACTCCCCTGAAGTCACCGATCGCCAAAGAGACCAATTGCTCAGTCCCGACCCAACTCAAAAAACTCGTATCACAACCCTAATTTAGATGATTTAGGCTCTGATACCATGTCAATTGTATTGAATTCCTCTCAATGTGAGGGTTCTTCCTATTATATAGAACAATTACAAGAATAAATAAGGCAATTAAAATCTACCTATTAATTACAAGATACTATACAAAAACATACCATAACTAGAGAAACTAATTATGGCTAAATATACAAAATATATATGCTATATCTGATTGACATGCACCACTCCAGCAATACCTTCCTGGGATGTTACTAAAATTCCATCTTCATTCTTGAGGCTAATAATTTTGTCTTTTCTTTCGGGAAGTAGCAGCTGCGTGGAAGAATTTAGTATTCATGTCTCCATCCCGCATCCAAAAAGCCTTCGCTCTTTGCTTCCAGAAAGTCTCCTCTTGAGCAAGGAGTTTAGCCAATTCTCGCTGCAGGATTTTAGCTTCATGAATTGCTTCGTTTGAAAGAGACTCTCTTGCAAGTGCTAGTTTAGCTCTGCATTTATCAATAGCTTCTGTGTGTCTTCTTCTCAATTTCCGACCCCAAGCATCCAGTTTAACGGTACAACGTTCCAGCTTCTTGAGCAATGGGTCTCCAGTGGAGTCTTTCCATTCGCTTTCAACTACTATATTAAGTTCAGGTTCAATAAGCCATGAATTCTCAAACTGAAATCTTCTCTTCCTGAACATACATACTTGAGAATTCGTGTTAAGCAAAATAGGAGAATGATCAGAGTGAGAGGCTACCAGATTGCGTAATGTAGTGGTTGGAAAATGCTACAGCCACGCCTCTGTTCCCATAGCTCTACCAAGCCTTTCCTCTACCGACTCGTCAGAATCTAGGCTTCTCCACCAAGTAAAGGGTCTGCCTTCGAGCTTAATATCCACTAATCCACAGTCAGTTAATGCCGCTCTAAATCCATTTATTAACCAGGTAGGGTGCTCTACCCTTCCTCTCTTCTCCTCATGAGCCAAAATGTCGTTGAAGTCTCCGATAACACACCATGGCAATCTACAATTGCTACCTATCCTTTCTAAGAATATCTGAGGATTCTCTTCGATGTTGTCTATCCGGAATGCCATAGAATCCTGTAAGTTGCCACGGGTGAGTAGCTTCCTCTTTAACCAAAACATTAATAAAATTTTTTGAAAAATTGATTAGTTCAATGAGATTGGCAGATCTCCAAAGAATCGCTAGACCACCACTTCTTCCCTCCCTATCCACCACAAAATAAGCCTCAAAACCCAAAAGTCTACGAATTGCATCCACCTTATAAGAAGAACATAAAGTTTCACAAAGGAAAATAACATCCGGCTTATTATGCCTAACTAGGTCTCGAAGTGTCGGAACTGCACACGGGTGACCCAATCCTCGGCAGTTCCAACTTAAAATAATCATTGGTCCTGGTGGGCCTGAACTCAGGACCCACCCCATTTTTTTTTCAGCGATGCCCGATGTACTAGTTGAGCAATCTGTAACTTTGGGTTGCGACTCTTCGGCAAATCGTTTTCTTTTCTTCTCTGCAGCTAGTTCATTATCCTCCGTCTGCATTTCACTACTGCATTGAGCAGCTTGTTCAACACCTCCTGCTCCCACAAAAGCAACTAGATCAGTATCCTTACTACTCTGTTGTTGATTTATGCCTGTGACGTGTTCTCCCAATTGCCCTCCTGTGTCATCCCTCAACCATGTGCACCCCCTGAAGCCCCTGTCTTCCTTCTGTCTGCCCGTAACTCTATGCCCCAACCTCTTACTCCATTGTCCTCTTGCATTTGAAATAATTTGTCGCATTGGGTATCTAAATGGCCCAGTACTCCGAATAAGAAGCAAAAGGTGCTTAATCTTTCATATCTAAAACGAATCACTTTAATTTCCCCACTGACCAGCCTGATTCTTTCCCCCCTCTTCAAGGGTTTACGAACGTCTAATGTGACTCTTATGCGCATATACTTCTTCTAGAGACCCTCATTGTTCTTAGGATCATACTCTACGAAAGTTCCAATAAAGTTTCCCAAACTCTTTCCTGTTTCCTCATCCATATGTGTCATTGGAATATTGTGTACTTGGACCCAGAAATCGACATGAAATAATGGAACTTCCGAGGGTATAGATGTTGCCCCCATGTTTGCAATAATCAGCAGATGGTTATCAAAGTTCTAGGGGCCTCCCTTCATAACCTTTTGCAGATCCAATCGATGATAGAATTGGAAGAGAGATATACCTGATTGTACTTGTTTAATCAAGACTCCCTCATGGGGTTCCCAGATTGTAGCTAGTCACTCTTTCATCATGTGCGTTCGTATTGATTTCTGAGTCACGAATCTCTCGACTAAACAAAGATTAACATCCGCAAGCCGAATCTGGGATACTGAATTAGAAATCTCCAAAATCTCTTCTTCATCATCGTTAAGTTGCAGATTTTCCATATTGGATTATGTACAACGCTCAAGAATCGGGAATAATCTATGTCTCACACAGAGAGAAACCCCTAGGACTTCTCACGAGGAGAGACTATTTTCCATATTTCAGTAGTTAAGAAGGGTGTTAGAAATTGGTAAAAAAGGCCCCAATGATATATTAATAATTTAAAAAAAATATTAATCATGGACTTGAAAGATAGATTAACTATATATAAAAATAAGCACGTAGAATAATAAATGGTAACTAAAATATATGTCGCCACTCTCTTTTGCCGCATATGGGCAACCCTAGGTGGGTGAGTAGCTGGTTAGGTGAGGAATGGTGAAGGCTCTTAGCCCTCTAAGCTTCAAAGCTTAAGCTCAAGAGGAGAGGTAAAGTTCACACGCAATTGAAAAAGTGGAAAAAGTGATATGTGCACTCGTATTACTGTATGTGTGATGTTTTCTTCCCTAGAATTTCTAGGGTTCTTTTGTCAATTTTGACAGTGGTGTTATGGGGCGACTTCTTTGCAAATTAATGATGCAAGTGCTACGGTTTGCTATCTTATTGTTCAATTGCCGTTGACAACATTCATCAAGTTTTAGACATGTTTTTCTCAAATACCATCATGATTATCAACCCATCTATGACGATACTGTTGATCCATCCCTCTCCAGAACCATCGCCACATGATGACACGAGGAAAGAGTAGTATGAGATTATTATCGAACTATTTAGTACAAGTCTGGAATAAATGTCATTGGCTTCCAAACAGTTGAAAATGATATGCAGGTACAATGAAATCAAACTAGGACACGACATAACTAGAAACCGATGGCTTGTTGCTTTATTATTTCCTTATGTCGATTTATTTTTTGTAGTTTTGCATATTTCAGTACTTTAAATTACTTTTTATTTATTCGTTGTTTTTCGTAGATGTTTCAAATCACAATAGAAACATGAAGACTTACATGATAATGTTAAACTTCAATTTGTCCATTACATGATTAGCGACTTCTGCGGCTTGTTTGTGAGTAGCAGAGTCAAAGTCATATCGATGGGTTTAGGCCTGAGGTTGGTATGATCTTGAGTCTATTATAATGTGGCTAGATTTATTAATTTTAAAATAGACTATTTCCATTCCAAAAAAACTATCAACAATAAACTTCAAAGACACTATTTTTGGCTTGGGAATGTGATGAAATAAAGCAAATGACTCACTAAACTGATTCTGCTTCTTTGTTATGAAGTAGTGGTTAGTTCATATAATTGTTAACGTGATTTTCACCACGGGTCATCTGGAAACAGTGTCTTTTTTATTTAGTACGGGGGTAAGACCGCGTACATCTGACCCCCCCCCCCCCCTCTTACCCCACGTAGGTGGGAGTTTTTGCGACACTGGGATAATGATGATGAATGATGATGATATTTTTTATTTTTATGATTTTTCTTCAAAAAAGTTTATTAGTTTAATACTATCCTCCGTTCCGTTTTAATCGCAACATGTTGACTTTTACACTATTCACATACTCTACTTTGACTACATTTTACGCTATTATTTTATGAAAATTATTTTTTTTAAAAAAAATATTGATCAATTCATCACATTACAAATATTCAAAATCTGATTTTTAATATTTTTTTACTAATAGAATTAAGATATAATTACGGTCAAAGACGTGCGTTGACAAACGTGAAATGTTAACCGCGTTGCAACTAAAAGAGAACGGAGGAAGTAATATTTAATAGTATTTAGATTCTTTAAAATAAAAAATATTAAAATTCATGATATTTTTAGTCATAAATCGATACTCTGTAATATTGAGTTGCTCGGGTCCCTATTGATAGTAACCTATCTTTTGCATCCTAAATTGATAAAATTATTAATTTTAAAAACATTTGGGATATTAACTTAACTTTTTGAAAAAATGGCCCGTCTATCACTATAACTCTATAAGAGTTTCCATTTCCAAAAAAAATACAACTTTTACATTTTTCAAAAAATGTGACCCGAGTCACAAAGATCCAACCGTAGCCTCCTCTTCGCACATCATGGACATTCTCTCCGCACAGTAGCCTCCTCTCCTCCGCCATCGACCGCAAGACGAAGCTCCAACAGAAAAGCCTCCGACGGATCTTTACATCCTCAACCGACAGGCTTACTCTTCATCCGCCGCCGCTCTCCATCTTTCGCCGCTATCCAGTTGTCGTTCTCTTCTTCTTCTCAGCACCAACAACGTACACGGCCCTTCGCCACCGACGTTACAGTGGTGGATCGACTCGGTCTTCCATCTGCGAGCTCGACGACGAGGAGCTTTGGTGGCTAGTACACATCTGTCGTCCACCTTGAGTCTGAGCAAATTTATGTTGCGTAGATCTAGAATTTTTTTATTTAGAAAGATAGGAGTTCGGGCAATTGGAGAAGAGGCTGGGAAGGTAAGGCTAATGTTGGCGCTAGTGGCGGACCCAGAAAATCGGAGCCACGGGGTCCCTACCCTATATATCTCTGATCTCTCATTAATGTAAAACTAATAAAAAAAATATTAAAGAAGTATAACACTTCAAAGTTAACGTACACCATCAAAATATTAAGATATATTATAAAGCAAAAAGTTATATATAAAAGTCATTCAACAATTGATGTACCCTCCTAAGCTTCATTTGTTGGAAATATTCTATAATAGAATCATCACTAATAGTACCAATTTAATATCTTTTAATCCTAAATCGTATAAAATTGAAAACTAACATTTATAAGTACATGAATTTATTAATTTAATCTAACATTAAAAAAAGATGCAAAGAAAAGCAATTAAAAGAACGACGTAATTTTGGTATATTTAATTTAAACATAGAAATTGAAAACCCTAAATTTTGAGCATAACAAAAATCACACCAAAAAGCTTGAGAAACATCATTAATGGAGAAAAGAAGAGAAGAGTACCTTGGTGAGCTGGTGGTCGTCGCCTCGTCAGCACTGAGGCACTCGGCCGGCGGTCACGGTGGTAAGAGGTGGAGGGAGCCAACGACTTGGTCGTGCTTGGGCAGTTCGGCAGCTTCGCAGTTGGGGGCTTGGGGGAATCGCAGACTAGCGTGAAAGGAAAAGTGAGGGCTGGGTCTTTTGTTTTGTTTTGGGCCTAAGTTCCAGTTGGGCCTAAGGAAAAGAGGGGGGCTGGGAATCGCAGACTCCACGGTTGGGCCTTCCACAGAAAAAAAGCCGAAAAAAAATTCCAACGGGATTCGAACATGCTACCTCCCGCAACATAGATACCTTGAATCCGCGCAAGCTCCCGTTCCGCTGCTTCGTTCTTTTGGTTTTGAAATTGTTTTGTGTGTAAATATACATTGAATATTTAATTTTAAATAATATATATAATATATATAGGTATTTTTTTGGAGGTGCACGGGGTCCCGGGACCCCTTGGGACCCTTAGTGGGTCCGCCACTGGTTGGCGCCAGCTAGAAGTATCGGGTGGGGTGCGGCATTGGGCAAGGTTGGAGAGGCATGTCTGCACCGCTCTTGAAGTGGAAGGGCTGGATAGGGTACTGGATGGGGGCTGTTAGGGGGGTAGGGGGCTAGGCCGGGAGGGTGCTGGAGGGCTGCAGGAGTCTGGGTGAGCGTGGAGGAGGGGGCCTGTGGGTTGCTGAAGGCTGGGGGAGGGTGCTGGAGGGGGCCTGGGGTTTGGTGGTCAGAGGTGGTGTCGCTGGCGGCGGCAGACTAGCCGGACAGGGGGCTGGGGGAAAACAGGTGGGCTAGGGTGGTGGTGCTTAGGGATAGGGGTGAAGGAGTGGTTGAGTTGCCGGATTGTGGGGTGGTGATCGGGCAGGGGGTGGCATTGCTGGCCAGCGTCGGTAGCGGGCGGCGGCAACCGCCGTGGTGGCTTACAACAGCGGAGGCGGTGGTTTCCCACGTGAACGACGGTGATGGAGTTGGGCGGGCAGTCAATGTGGTACGTGGGCGAGTAGTCACTATGACCGGTAGATGGGCAGTCACGGTGGCCGGTGGACGGGCAGTCACGGTGGCCGGAGTCACTGTGATTGGTGAGGTAGTCACTGTGGCGGTGGATCACTGTGGTTGCGAAGTCATTTTGACCGGAGTCACTTTGCACTGCAGGGTTTAGTTGTGTTGTTAGGTCATATTTTTGAAATTTTGAAAAAGTTATCACATTTTTATCTTTGTTTTTTGTAATATTGAGGCCAAAAGGCCTAACTTTTTCGGTAGTAAGATCAATTCAAATGAGATGGTAAAAGATAAATACGAATAGCCTTGCACGTTGACATTGCTAAAAATAAAATCATATTAAAACAAGTAAAACATATACTATGTGATGGAATATATGGACTCCGACCCCACGATTTGCCGACTATTAGGCCTGGACAGTGGCCCACACACGTTTAGCGGATATCATTCATATTATTGTATATTATTATTATTCAGATGTTCTAGATTAGTTTTTTGTACTATCAGTCCATTTATGTAACTGGGTCTGTCAGGCCCATATTAGACGTCCAGACCCGGATTTTCCCTATATATACTCCTTTAGGAGGCTACACAACTGATACAATCAATATTCATTCTATACACTATTCATCTTCTTTTTCATCATTTCTTCTCCACTCTTGTTAAACCTCTCACTAGTTATAGGATATGAGTATCAATTATCCAACAATGGTGCTCTCGTTGAGAGGTTTGAACACAATCAAGTGAGAAAACCTCCCCAAACAACCAAAATTTCATTCCATTCACACAAAAATTAGCCAAAATTGTTCTTGAAAATTATAAAAAACAGAAATCTGGAATTATCCAGATCTGGAGGTTAGAGCAATCCCGGTCAGATCTAAACGTTGAACCAGAGGAGCACGTGGTTGAAGGGGTTAGATGCGACTCAGAATCCGGCCACAAGCTGCTCGCTCATCATCCTCCAGCGTGGCACCGCCTCCTGCCGCCCTTACTCGTTCACCAGCCACATGTCTCTCTAGCTTCACGAACCATTTTCGCCATTAATGGCCGCTGGGAAGCTCCGTTTTTGGGCCAGAAGCCAACTTGAAGAAAGTGCGGCCACGAGTAGCCCCCGACTGTCAAAGTCCGGGCAGAGTTTCCAACTAATTTCAGACCCAACGACCAAGTCGGACCGCTGTTAATGGCCGCTAAATGTTCAGCCCTTCCCCCCTTCGGGAGGACAGCCTGCGTCCCGACCGGAAGTCTGAGATGCCACCGCTTCTTGGCCAATCGTGTTTCCCTACCGTCTTGCTGCGCCAGCGCACGACGCTGGTTCATCGCCTGCTCCACCGCCGACATCTAGTAGCTGCTGCAAACCTCCAAGAACGGGATGAGCAGTGGACTGTTCTTAATATGAGACAGTGGCTGCAAATCATCCAGCCAGGCTGATGGGAATCCGTTGCAGCCCCCTCTGTGATTCATCAGATGCCTCATTCATCGAGGATGGCCAAATTGATTGGGGTGTGGGTTCCATTTGACCTAGTCAATTATTAACACGGTAGCAGACAGACGAGGGAAGTAAAAAATGAACATGGGCAGCACTAAATCGCCATTAATGTGGTGTCGGTTTTTCACGAATTAAAATGGGTCCAAGGAGTTCTACTGGATACTATTCATTCCAGACAGCCCACAATTTCGGGCCGCTTAAAAAAGATAAGTACTCTTTAATTTTAATATTATTTATATTTATTTTAATCAATATTTTTTCGGTTAAATGTCACACTATCACGTAATTATTATGATCAAATGCCTAGTAGACTGTGCCTTGAGACCCATCACTAGGATTTAAAGCCTTGACCCAGAGCAGGCACAAAGCCCTGACCAAGTCAGGCACAAAGCCTCGACCAAGTCGGGCACGAAGACCGGTCTTAGTCATTCCAAGAGTGGCGACCGTTGCGTACGAATGGCTCGCATGTCCACTCTACTAAGTATTTTATCATTACATCAACAATTCACATTTCCACTTTTTCAAGTGACGAACTCCCGATCGGAAACATAAACCTCAAGAAAAAATTTATATACATGTTAAATGTGTAGGTACGAAGATGACTTTACTCATTTTTCACCTCGTCTCTACTCGCCTCAAGGAGTGGGGAACTGGGGGACTGAGGGGTCAGATTTTCTGGATGAGCAAAAAATATCACGCATGAGCAGGAACGAGAGCTAAGTCAGATGAAGACAGGTTGAACTAGACAAAAGTGATTATACCGGAAGGGGCCTACCTTCCTTGTTTCATGTTGGGGGCGCTAGGTGTACTCTTTTTCCCTTTATTAGGATTTTTTTCCACTGGGTTTTTTCCTAGTAAAGGTTTTTAACGAGGCACCTCCCCATCATGGACAAGGGTGGTGGTCCCCCGACCGAAAAGGAAGAAATCAAAGACAAAAGAACGTTGCAGATACAGTTTGGATTACTCCCTTTCGCCTCGAGTACTCTCGACTCAGGGAGTGGGGGACTTCTGATGGAATATATGGACTCCGACCCCCCGGTCTGCCGACTACTGGGCCTGGACAGCGGCCCACACACGTTTAGCGGATATCATTCATATTATTGTACATTATTATTATTATTCAGATGTTCTAGATTAGTTTTTTGTACTATCAGTCCATTTATGTAATTAGGTCTGTCAGGCCCATATTAGAGGCCCAGACCCGGATTTTCCCTATATATACTCCTTTAGGAGGCTACACAACCGATACAATCAATATTCATTCTATACACTATTCATCTTCTTCATCATTTCTTCTCCACTCTTCTTAAAACTCTCACTAGTTATAGGATATGAGTATCAATTTTCCAACACTATGTATTGGATATTCAATCAACTTCATATCTTGATATCTAGGGATCGTTAAAATTATCACTAATTAATTAATATAAAAGTATAGGTTGATTTTTTGAAAGAAAATAACTCAATTATTATTGATAAGGTTAACAAGAAACATAACAATCAAAAGTCAAAGTGTTACAATCATAGCGTTCAATACTACACTAGGGTGAGACAGAACAAAAATGCCATATAAAAGCACGCATGTTCACTAACCCTCTAACAATGTAGACTCGTACCGCAGTATGACTGCTCATGCTACTCGAAATGGTCCGGTTTGACCAGCAACCGAAAAGGAATTATTAAACTTGCCGGTTTTTCCAAACACCGGTAAGGAGCCAAGTGCAGAAATTGTTCCGGATTCACCAACCACCGGAAAGAAAACAATACATTCAATGTCATCTTCCTTGATTAACGGTGGTTCAAGAGGGGGGCGATCAGCCTCTATATTGATACAGAAGAAATCCTGATCCATGAATGATAAAGAAGCCAATACAAATCTCTTACTAGAGGGTTTCCCGGTCCCGACCCGTTAATTTTTTTTCCTTGGAAGCAGGACAAAACTAAAATAAATTAAAGGAACCAGGACCGAGAACGGATCGGCCCACACCCAGAACTAAGCGGGTCGGATCCAGTCTCCAACAAGTTTTTTAGAACGGGTGGTCTCGGCCCAGAATCGGGAGCGGAATGACCTAAGTCCATCCATAACGACAATCATACAATTCAAATGTTTTCTTTTGGACTGAAATTTCCTGATCTGGTTTGGTCTGATCTGATCTAGTTTGGTTTGTTTAAGTCTGGTCTGCTCTGAAAGGGAATGGTCTAGTAAATATCTCGTCTCTATGTATTTATAATTGTCCAAGTTTAATCTGGTCTGATCTGTTTAAGTCAGATCTTGTCAGTTCTTGTCTGTTTAAGTCTTGTCTGGTCCGATCTAGTATGAGAGTGAAAACGATCCAATAGAAATTATCGTTAATGGCATAGCAGAGTGTAGAGATGAAAGTATATGTTATTACCCGCACGGGTAGCTCAGTTGGCCGAGTGGTGGGAAAATTGGACCAAGTGACCAAGGTTCGAAACCCGCAGCGGCCGTGTGGAGGTTACAGAACCTGAAATAAGGTTGGACCTCTGGTGCGCACGTGTATAAGGCCTACCGCCACTTTGCTGAATGAATCACCATGATTAACCTCCCCACCATCTTGTCGGGTCGGGATGGAGAGGGCCTTGGGATTGGGCATTCGACCTTTTGGACCAAATGAAAGTAAATGTTGTATTGAATATGATAATGGTAAACAATAATGTACAAGGGAGTATTCAAATATATATTCAAGTATGCAGGTGTAGTGACGGTTCTCTCTCTAGAAAAGAAGGAACATAGTCCGGATTAAGAAAGTTGAAAACGATAGACCATACGACGTTGCATGAGTGATAAAACGTAAAAAAAGATTAACAAATCAAATATCAACTTCAAATGATATAAAAGTAGTGCACTAAAATAACATACATACTGTTCTCCATTAAAGGATACCCAATAACACTTTGAATAACATAGGATACAAAGGAGAGATGATATGATCTTTATTAGGATTAGGTAGAAGTCTTGAACAGCCACGTAATTTGGTACGTAATGCATTCAAAACAAAACAAATATTAGTTACATATAAAACAAATTAAAAATAAAATAAAAAGGATCGTACGTAATAATACCTGGGTTGAGCTTGGGCGATCGTACGTAATAATGTTAAGAGCAGAAGAAGATACAAGCCTGCGGCAGAAATGGAAATGAATAAGCCGATGGAAGATGATGAATGTAATACGGAAAGTTATTAATCAAGAAAAAAACGGCAAGTTATTAATCAAGGAGCAAAATAAATTCACTTACCATTATGGAGCTTTGGTAAAACGGAAGGAAATAATTTGGAAGGACAATAATACCCCATGCGCAATGCTTCAAATCAAGGCCATCCTTTTACCTACGTAAGAAATTAAATGGATGAGATGACTTCTCATTTTTCATGATAAGAGGTGTTTTTATATGATCCTAAATATATATATATATATATATATATATATATATATATATACATATATATATATATAGTAGTGTTCCGGTCAGGAATTTCTGACCTGAATCGCCGTCCGGACAGTGGCGTTTGGCCGTCTTCCCGGTGAATTTTTTTGATGAAATTTTTATGGCATGTTCTTCATCAAGTCATGTTTATCCACAAAAACATTCAGCTTAGAAATCAATTGGGAAGACCGTCAAATAATTTTTGGAAGTAAACTGTGTTTTATATGTATTTTCCGGCGCAGTTAACTTCCAAAAATTATTTGACGGCCTTCCCGATTGATTTTTAAGCTGATTTTTTTTGTGGATAAACTAGATTTGATGAAGAACATGCCATAAACATTTCATCAAAACATTCAACCGGGAAGACGGCCAAACGCCGCCGTCTGGACTCCCGGGAGAGAAATGAGAATGAATCTAGACTGTTGGATTGTATTATGTGGATTTGAATTATGCGTTTAGTGAAACTGAAATGTTCATTAGATGATATTGAAATGTGCAAAATAAAAATTTAAACTCAAGTGTCCGTTAGCAGAAATTGAAATGTGCGGAATAAAAGGTACAAAAATATCAGCACATCATACCTTTTATTCTGCACATTTCAGTTTACCCTAGTGCACATTTCAATTTCATCTAATGCACAATTCAGCTTCACATAATGGCACTGTATCATACCTTTTGTGTTGCACATTTCAATTTCACTTAATGCACATTACAGTTTCATCTATTGCACATTGAATTTCACTCAAAGAAAATCTAACGATCCATATTCATTCTCATTTCTCTCCTAAGATCGTGTTCTTATTTGAACCAAAACCTATATATATATATATATATATATATATATATATATATATATATATATATATATATATATATATATATATATATATATATATATATGGGATTGTTCAAATACAAAGAGTTCTTCCCATGCAAAGTGAGAATAAATCTTGTGCATTCATTTCCACATCTAAAGGTTCAAAATGAGCCAAAAAAGCACTAAATCGACCAAAATCGCGGTGGCAATTTCGTAAATAAACCACATTTTTTCACCACTGTGAAAAAGTGCAAAAGAAACACGAAAAAGTGCAAGCGAAACATGAAAAAGTGCATATTTTCGCACTTTGCACGGGAAGGTCTTTTTATTTGAACTCTTCCCTATATATATATATATATATATATATTTATATATATAGGTTTTGGTTCAAATAAGAACATGATCTTAGGAGAGAAATGAGAATGAATCTGGACCGTTAGATTTGCTTTAAGTGAAATTCAGTGTGCATTAGATGAAACTGTAATGTGCATTAGATGAAATTCAAATGTGCAACACAAATGGTACAATACAGTGACATTAATCACATTATGTGATGTTGAATTGTGCATTAGGTGAAATTGAAATGTGCACTAGGTGAAACCGAAATGTGCAGAATAAAAGGTACGATGTGATGTTATTTTTGTACCTCTTATTCTGCACATTTCAGTTTCACCTCATGCACACTTGAGTTTAATTTTTTATTCTACACATTTCACTATCATCTAATGTACATTTTAGTTTCACCAAATGCACAATTCAGTTCCATATAATACAATCCAACGGTCTAGATTCATTCCCATTTCTCTCATGGGAGTCCATTCTTACCGGAACCACTCCCTACACACACACACACACACACACACACACACACATATATATATATATATATATATATATATATATATATATATATATATATATATATATATATATAGGTTCAAGTGAGAAACTAATCTTAGGAGAGAAAAAAATATGAATGAGAGCCTTTAGATTCAACTAGCATCTAAATTAATGAAGTATTTCGTATAAGGCCACAAAAGTCATTTTGACTACTTCCCTATTTGAATCGTTTGGCAAATACGAGACTTCTGCAGCTAATGGATTGTGTCCATTAATATCATTACATATTCTTATCAAATTATTTTATCTCCACTCAAATAATCCACTAAAAGTGATTTTTTATCTCCACTTATGTTGATTCACGTTTAGTTTATTTACTACTTTCTTGATCATTTCATCATTTTTTTTTGTTTTACGTACTATATCTTATGTTTTATTTGTTTTGTGATATTTACTTTTATGCTTTTACATATATCATCTATTTAGTTTTGTATTTCTTATCCTATTTATTTTGATTTATCTATTTTTAAGACTTTTTATATATAACAAAGATGTAGGGGCAAGTGTATAATAATTGATTTCATGTTTATTGAAAAATGCACAACAACTCATATGTAAGTGCACAACATAATTCAGATTATTTTAATTTAATGCACTTATTATACCTTATTCATGCACTTTTTATTATTTTTAGTTTACGTTTTTGTAGATATCTATACGTTCAACAAAAGACAATGTCTTAATCAGATAATAGTCACACTTTTGAAAGAAAAAATGCATTTATTTGTAAAAAGAGAAAAAGATCAAATAATGCCTTCTACTATTCTGAAATAGTCACATAAGGCCATGCACTCAATAAAGTGTCGTATAAGTACCTCTACTTGTAAAAAACAATCAAATGAGTCCTAACGGCCTATTTACAACCTCCTAATCCCGGTTTTAGCTTACTTGTCGATTTTTTACTTGTATTTCAACCAATCTTAGTTAAATATTCGACGTATGACGTATATAATTTATTCTAAAAAATGGTCATAAGTACGCTAAAATCGGGATTAAGAGGTGTTAAATAGGTCATTAGGACTCATTTGATTGTTTTTTACAAGTAGATGTACTTATATGACCCTTTATTGAGTGCATGACCTTATGTGACTATTTCATAATAGTAGAAGACCTTATTTGACCTT